CATCTGCTCCAATTAAGGCCTTCGTTAGCCAAGTGAAGACATGGAGAGTAAGGAGTGAGGAGGGGCTGGCTCGGGGATTGAGCCAGCACAGTTGGACCGCAGAGACCCACAGGGAGGTCCCTTGTCCTTGCTCCACTCACTCTCTGCTGCCTGCTGTGTGCCGCCAGCAGCGGTCAGTGCCGCAGCTCTTGGGTCACATAAACAGGGAGTGGGCATGTAGTTATGACTCTTCTCTGTCCAGGGTCGTGGTTGTTGGGCCTCACCACAGGAGCTAACTAGGTGAGTTTTGGCTTCCAGAAGACCCTGCCCCACAAACCCTAACAAATCCCACATCCCCGTCGCCGTGGTGTGGATTCCGACTCTGGTGAGCCCACGTGTCACAGACTCCACAGGGTGCCCTCGATGGCAATCTTTACAGGAGCTTGGGGCGTACCCTCCTTCTGTAGGTGAGCGCCAACCTGCAGGTGAGCAGGGAAGCGTGAACCCAGGCACCTTTCCAGGAGACCATGCCATGAAAAATAATCTCAGGTATTGTTGGAATTTGTGGGACTACTTCGATGTGTCAGCACCCTCCTATATTTCTAAACTCTGCCAAGGAATACATGTTCTTGGGACAGTCACCCTGCCTGACAAAACCTCAAATTAGCATGCCGATTCTCTCTCTTCTCCAAGGCAAAAAGCACTTGGCTGAGTATTTTGAAGGCAGGGGAGTAGAGGAGGCACAGGGAAGGCCTGGGTTTACACAGTGACGATGGGAGTTGTTATTCCAAAGTCTTCATTCCTTGGTTGTGTGCTGCTAATACACTGTCACACCAGGACAACCCACATGGCATTCATTCTAAAGTTAGGACAATATTTTCCACATCTGATTTCACAGTAAAGGAGACAATATGTCCCCAGAGCTTTAATGTGGTTTTCTGTTTGGAGGATGAAGCAAGCAGCAGCCCTCCCACCCCAAGGACACAATGAACATGGCTCACAGTGTACAAAGTGCTTTCACATGCACTATCTCTCTTCGGTCTCTAGATCCTGAGTGATTGACATTGCTCTAGCACCGTCAGACTCTTTGGACAGGGAGATGGAAGCTCAGGTCGGGGACCCAAAGGTATTGCCACTCCAAAGGGGGACTCCAGTTTCTCAGAAGGCATGGCTGGCTCTCCTGCTATCAGTACTTCCCAAGTGGTCCCCGGCTCCCCCAGGACCCTGATCGCCTGGCTCCCTGACCAATATGCTCTCCTTTCACCTCTGCAGTGGTTATTTCCTTCCATTTCAGCTTCATACGCTAATAGCTCAAGGTAGCTATAATCTTTGTTTTGGGGTGAATGCACCAGGGCTCAGAGTGTGTCCTGGGGAACTTCCATTTTGTTTCTCTGAATCTAGTCTTTGCTTTGTTCTGCACTACAAGCTTGACCCATATGGACCTCACCAGCAGGCTCCCTTGTGCCCTGGCTTCCAGTTGGGTTCAGATGATATAGTCCATCAGAGACCCGAGAGCGAGGTGGGAGGATGAGGTCAGGATGCTCCCCCCTGCTCCTCCCTGAGGAGGTAGGAGCCTGTCCTCAGCCCTCTCCTCCACCTTCTATATCTGAAAGTTCCAATATCCACCCCTTCAGACCAAGGGGCGGTGATGACAGTGTCCACAATCACCGAGAGCCTTATTGGAGCCCCAAGCACCAGAAAACATGTGGCCTGATACACATGATATTCTGGACTTTTGGGACAATTTATTTGATTTTTGTTGTTGAGAATGTATACAGCAGCTTATATAAGTTCAACAATTTCTACATGTGCAATTCAGTGCCATTGATGAAATGCTTCAAGTCATATAACCATTCTCATCCTCCTTTTCTGAGTCATTTTCCCCATCGACAGAAACCAGCTGCCTCCTATCTAATCTTTCCAGTTGCTGTTGTCACATTATTGACAGATCTCAACGGAGCACAATGCTAAAAGGAAGATATTCCCAACTAGTGATGCTAACTTTTGTTTAGTTTGAATAAGACTTCAGGGGGTATTTTGGGTTAAGGTTCAAAAATTAATGCAAGGCCATTGGGAACACACTTCACGTTACTTATATAGACCCTAAAGAAAATACACCTGATGCCATGTTCCTATCCTAATTAGACACCTTTGTCCTCATTTCTCCACAGACCTTGGTGACCTAGCCACATCCTATTGACAAGTGGGACCTTAAGCTCTGCCCTTTTGAGGTGCACAGCACTCTTCATAGGCGCCCCCGAAGGAATAGATTTGGAAACCCCATAAGTGGATGTTACCTTACTCTTACCTGTAGAGCATTTACATAACTGAAATCCTGTCTTCGACTCACAGCTGAAACGTGTGGGAAGAAGCAGATGCATGCTGTCCCAAGGTTATGGAATTGTAGCTGTTGGACTTGGGTTCAGATCTCTTCCTTTGAGGGTGTCCAATGTATGGTGGCTCAGGACTACCGTCTATTTGTGATTTTCATACTCTCTTTGCCTTGTTTTAAGACATGTTTTAGTCTAGCAGGCATGCGTCTACCTTTGCCTACCTTAGTGTTATTGAGCTTTGCCTGATACTCATCCCTCGCTGTTTGTGCAAATAATGTCCAGTCACTTAAGCTTTTAATCTGTACAAGTCAACAATTCACATACTGGGGTCTGAAAAGCTGACTTATTCACATATAAGTTTTTCTCTCTCAACAGTGTTTTAAATTTGATACCACTACCTAAACAAATGATCCCATCAACAGAATTGCCATG